TTCCCTCTACAGTAATCTCATACCCATATAAGTCATTTAAGGCAATACAGCATAACTTCAGAACAAGCTGTGATGAGGTAATATCAAGGGCCCCTTCCACACAGCTGTATAAAATCCACATTGAACTGGATTATATGGCAGCATGGACTCAGATAATCCAGTTCAAAGCAGATACTGTGGATTATCTGCCTTGATATTCTGAGTTATACGGCTATGTGGAAGTGCCTGATGTCAATGTTCAATGTGTCTGGTTATTCTAAAATATGGAAGTACTTCGATATTAGGCCATTTTAACAGTACCCAGTTCAAAGGATTAGTGGATTTCCTGACTAGTTAGTGTAATAACAATCACAGAAGCAAATTGCAGGGAATTTCCCTTCTTAAAATCATGATGCACATTACATCACTCTTGTAGCCTTCGTAAGTCATAGCTTTATCCCTGGAGACCCGGTATTGCATAATGGTTTGTTTTTAACTAGGGGACAGTGGTTCTCAGCCTGTGGGTCCCCAGATGTTTTGGCCTTCAACTCCCAGAAGTCCTAACAAATAGTAAACTGGCTAGGATTTTTGGGAGTTGTGGGCCAAAACACTTGGAGATCCAGAGATTGAGAGCCATTGAACTAGGACTTTCTTAGACCAGATTTGAATCCACACTCAGCCATGGAATCTTGCTGGGGGTAAGCTCCTCTCTCTCAGCAAATGAAAAAACCTTACCAAGAAAACCCCATGAGAAGTTTTCCTTAAGACCTCATCCCATGGGAGGGGAGGGGAGGAGTGGGGAGAATTGTCTTCTTGCCATAGCATTTGGTTCCATTCCATTTTAAAGGAAAATGGATAGTATTTTCATCCCCATCACACGTGACATATTTTGACAATTTCTACTCTAATCCTCCGCATTCTGAACTATCACACAGCCAAATATAGTCCTGCCCACTCTGCATTCTTCTTCTTCGCAATTGTGGAAGTCTGAAATCTAGGTCTTAAAAGGGGAGGGGAAATATAGCCACACTGAAATGGTAATATATTGAAATTGTGCAATTCCTGACAAACAAATTAATTTTTAAGATAACTGTAAAAGTTCAATGAAAGAAGAGTACTGGCAAGAAAAAGAGCCTCAAGGCTCATTTTGAGACCAGCGACAGGAACGCCTTCTTTAAACATCACTAAAACATCACCTATTCTTTCCATTAAGAAAAGGCATATGTCCCCTCACAGAGTTAGTCATCCTGGTCTCCATAAATCATCCCCAGTGTAAATGGAGCCCCCGGTGGCACAGTGGGTTAAACCCCTGTGCCGGCAGGACTGAAGACTGACAGGTCGCAGGTTCGAAACCGGGGAGAGGCGGATGAGCTCCCTCTATCAGCTCCAGCTCCTCATGCGAGGTCATGAGAGAAGACTCCCACAAGGATGACAAAACATCAAATCATCCGGGCATCCCCTGGGTAACGTCCTTGCAGACAGCCAATTCTCTCACACCAGAAGCGACTTGCAGTTTCTCAAGTCGCTCCTGACACGACAAAAAAAATCCCCAGTGTGATCTGCCTTTGGCTGCTTTAATCATTTCTCACCTACTTCGGAGCAAATTTGAGAAAGGCAGGACATATTTTAATGCAATAAATAACCAGCACTATTCAGTAAGGCAGTGGTTCTCAACTTTCCTGATGCCGTGGTGACCCTCAACCATAACATTATTTTCGTTGCTACTTCATAACTATAATTTTGCTACTGTTACGAATCGTAATGTAAGTATCTGATATGCAGGATGTATTTTCATTCACTGGACCAAATTTGGCACAAATACCCGATATGCCCAAATTTGAATACTAGTGGGGTTGGAGGGAAAATGATTTTGTCATTTTGGAGTTACAGTTTGCTGGGATTTATAGTTAACCTACAATCAAAGAGCATTCTGAACTCTACCAATGAACCAAATTTGGCACACAGAACTCCCATGACCAACAGAAAATACTGGAAGGGTTTGGTGGGCATTGACCTTGAGTCTTGGAGTTGTAGTTCACCTACATCCAGAGAGCACTATGAACTCAAACAATGACAGATCTGGATCAAGCTTGGCATGGATACTCAGTATGCCCAAATGTGAACACTAGTGGATTTGGGGGAAAACAGACTTGACGTTTGGGAATTGTAGTTGCTGGGATTTATAGTTCACCTACATTCAAAGAGCATTCTGAACTCCACCAATGATAAAATTGGACCAAACTTCCCACACAGAACCCCCATGACCAACAGAAAATACTGGTCTTTGGTGACCCATCTGGTAGCCCCTCATAACACCCCCAGGGGTCCTGATCCACAGGTTGAGAAAAGCTGTGTTAGTACAACTGGCTGACCATGCTAATTTTTCTACTCTGATTATGCGTCACTCCTTTTTATTGTCCCCTCTTCTTCGGCTGGCACTCATAAGCCCTACAGCCATGGAAAAAGGAAAAAGCATGAATGTCATGTTGGGCGTATTTCATTTGCTCAAAAGGCAAAAAGCATGGAAATGAGGGAGTTGGTTTATTTGTTCGACAGGCAAGCAGAATTCAGTGGCTTTCGTCTTTAAAGTTATCCTTGGAATCATAAGGCTCTCTTAGGCAGGTTGACTATAAGTGTGTGTTGAGCCTATGTTTTTAATCACCCTTATGGATTTTAACTGTTATTATTATTATTATTATTATTATTATTATTATTATTATTATTATTTATAGACTGTTGTATCTCCCCGAGGGAACTCAGCACAGTTTACACACCGAAAGGCAAACATTCAATGCCCAAGCAAATGCAAAAGCATTAAAGCAATATCGCAAACACGAATAATGACAACAGTGAGCTTATTACATAAAAGAATTAAACATCAAAATAAGAAACAGGATACAATTAATCACAAAAACACAACACATTAAAACATACTCAACATTAAAACACCTTTCATAGTAATAGCAATTAAAATAGGGGAGCATTAGCTGTTATAATTGTTCTTAAAATGTACCATAATGGCCACAGGGCATAAACAGACATACAAATAAAAAAACTATATATTAAAACCAAAAAGTTAAAAACATCTAAACATTAAAACCATTAATTAAAATCACACAATCCAAAATCATAGTCCAGGAGCCATTCCGGTTGTAGCTGCATTTATTTTGTATTCACTTGTTGCACTGAATTATTGTTCAAAGGCTTGGTCCCAAGCCATGTTTTTAATTTTTTTTTCTAAAGGTCAGGAGGGAGGGAGCTGATCTGAGAATTCCACAACTGAAGGGCCACCACTGAGGAGGCCCTGTCTCTTGTCCCCACCAACTGCACTTACGAAGGAGGTGGCACGGAGAGCAGGGCCTCCCCAGAAGATCTTGACCTCCAAGGTGGATCATAGAGGGAGATACATTCAGATAGGTAAGATGGGCCAGAACTGTTTAGGGCTTTATAGGCTAAAGCCAGCACTTTGAATTGTGCTTGGTAGCAGATGGACAGCCAGTGGAGATGACATAACAAGGGAGTTGTATGTTCCCTGTACACCCCTCCAGTGAGGAATCTGCTGCCTGTTGGACCACTTGAAGCTTCTGAACAGTCTTCAAATGCAACCCCACATAGAGCATGTTGCAGTAGTCTATTCAAGGATGTAACAAGAGCATAGTCACATTGAGGAAAATTGAGTTTTCTTTTCATTAGAGCTGTTTAGGAGCGCATTGTCAGGCAGGTTCCAGTTTAGCCACATTCCACCCCATTGAAGTGTAGGAGATCCCCCGTCACTCATCATAATCTAAGGTTGTCTAGTGGTGTCATTCTCCAAGCACAAAGCTTCTAACATTTGTGACAACTAAGGGCCCTTCCACACTGCCATATAACCCTGAATATCAAGGCAGAAAATCCCGCAATCTCTGCTTTGAACTAGGTTATGTGAGTCTACACTGCCATATATTCCAGTTCAAAGCATATAATGTGGGATTTTATTCAGCTAGATGTAGATGGGACTTGAATGAATCAACAAAACTCTGGGGGGGGGGGATGGGACAAGTTGTTGCCTTGGACAGTGGACGCTTCTCCAGGGTCCTTCCACACAGCCCTATATCCCAGAATATCAAGGCAGAAAATCCCACATTATCTGCTTTGAACTGGAATATATGGCAGTGTGGACTCACATAATCCAGTTCAAGGCAGATATTGTGGGATTTTCATTTTTCTGAATGAAGCAGAGAGTGTTTGAGGACTGGAATACCTGTAGGGATACCAAGATGCTTGTTTATAAAGCTATTGTCCTCCCAACCCTGCTATATGCCTGCAAGACATGGACTATCTACAGACATCACATGCAACACCTAGAACTATTCCATCAGCGTTGCCTCTGAAAAAATCCTGCAAATCTCTTGGGAAGACAAGAGTGCTGGAAGAAGTTGTTGCATTGGACAGTGGACGGTTCCCCAGGGGCCCTTCCACACAGCCATATAACCCAGAATATCAAGGCAGAAAATCCCACAATATCTGCTTTGAACTGGGGTCCCTTCCACACAGCTGAATAACATCCCACATTATCTGCTTTGAATGGAATATATGGCAGTGTGGACTCAGATCACCCAGTTCAAAGCAGATAGTGTGGGATTTTCTGTGTTGATATTCTGGGCTATAGGGCTGTGTGGAAGGGCCCTGGGTTATCTGAGTCCACACTCAGATAAGTGGGATTTCCTGCCTTGATGGATATAGGGCTGTGTGGAAGGGCCTTAAGAGAGGAATTCCAGGGAAATGAATGAGTCGTGCACTGTGAATGGATTGTGTTCCCCTTTGGGCGAGGATAGCGCCTACTTTGGGATTGTTTGTGTTGTTTGGCGAAGGTGCATTAAAAAAATAAGGAACCCTTAAAAATTTCCGCTCCGCGAAGGTGTCGCTTTGGAGCTCCTTGTGAGTCATGGCTTTGGAGGGAGACCGCAACGTCGCAGCGGGGTTTGTGGCATGAGCTAAAAAGAGAGAGAGAGAGAGAGAGAGAGAGAAAGGGAAATCCTGGGACTGCGGGCTATAAATGGGGCTCCGGCAGCCCAGGGACACAATCATCCTCGAAAGGGACTCTGGAGAGACAGAGCGACAGAGAGAGAGACTCGCCCGCCCGCCTGCCTCCAAGATGCCAAGCCTCTGCTGCGCCTCCAACTTGCGCCAAACCATCCCCAGGACAGGTAAGTGCTTTGCAATGGGCTTGGCTCGACTCCCGAGACAGGTGGGCGCTTGGAAGCCGGCTCAAGGCAGCTTCTATTCAGCACCCTGGCTCCCCAATAGCCTTCCTTCCCCCCAAAAGTGCAATTTTGCTGAGTGCCAAGTGCCGGTGTTACTTTGCCGCCCAACGCTTTGCCGCGCTTGGCAACTTTCCGCTCTTCTTCTTCTTCTTGGGATGCTTAAGCTGTTTAGTTCGCAGTGTTGTCTTTTTTCCCCCGTCCAGGCCCGTAGCCAGGATTTCGATTCGGGGGGGGGGGGGCGGGGGGGGGGGGAAGCCCCTCAAGCCCCCCCCCCCGCTACTTGCCTGCCCCCGTCCAATATATTGTTAAAGGCTTTTACTGGGTTGTTATAGATTTTTCGGGCTATATGGCTATATTCTAGAAGCATTCTCTCCTGACGCTTCGCCTGCAACTACAGCAGGCACCCTGAGCGGTTGTGAGGTCTGTTGAAAACTAGAAAAAATGCATTCTCTCCTGACCTTTCGCCTGCATCTACAGCAGGCATCCTCAGAGGTTGTGAGGTCTGTTGGAAACTAGGAAAATGGGGTCAATATATCTGTGGAATGTCCAGGTTGAGACAAAGAACTATTGTCTGCTTGAGGCAGGTGTGAATGTTGCAATCGGCTACCTTGATTAGCATTTAGTGGCTTTGCAGCAGGCATGTAGCGGGGGGGGGGGCTTGAGGGGCTTCAGCCCCCCCCCTGAAATTCTCAGGGTGGTTTACAAGAAGGCCTTACTTGTACATTATTTAAACTGTTATGTTTATTCATAACATGATCTGATCACCATGTTCAATATATCCCATATGCATGGGGGTATTGGGATAATCATACAAAAGGTTTGCTAGGGTAGATCCTCAGCCCCCCCACCCAAACTCAGCCGCCCCCCGCCCCCCGAATCAAAATCCTGGCTACAGGTCTGCTTTGCAGCATCAAAGCCTGGCTGGTTGCTGCCTGGGGGATGCTGCATCTGTGGCAGAGGTTGCAGGTGAAGCGTCAGGAGAGAATGCTTCTAGAACAACAACCCAGTTTTTTCCATCCACTTTCTAAACTTCAATCACAGCACTCCTTCTAAAGACATATATAAACCTAAACATATTTGAACAAGTTACCTTTCCTGGTTTGAAAAGAGTGTCCCCTGCTTCTCTTTTGTCGGTTGCTCTATATAGGAGCCCCTGTGGTGCAATGGGTTAAATAACCCAAGTGCCAGCAGGACTGAAGACTGACAGGTTAGAGGTTCAAATCCGGGGAGAGCATGGATGAGCTCCCTCTGACAGCTCCAGCTCGCCATGCGACATGAGAGAAGCCACCTGCAAGGAGGGTAAAACATCAAAACGGCCGGGCTTTTTTATATCCTTGTAAACGCCAATTCTCTCACAGCAGAAGCGACTTGCAGTTTTTCACCAGCTGTTAGGAATTGTGGGAGATGCAGTCCAAAACACCCAGAGAGGCCAAGTTTGCCTATGCCTGTTGTATCCAGTAAATTATTTACTTCTGCGTGTTTGTACCTTAACAAATGAGTATCCCGACATTTGAGATTTCCAAAGCAGTATCTAAAGTCCTTTTCTCACCCTCATCTCTATATTAATAGAAAGGTGCCTTGTAACAAAGTGTCTAGTGCAGGTATGGGCAAACTTTCTAATTTGGGGGCCACATGGTGGGCCGGAGTGGGATGGGCTGGCCGGGCGGGGAGGGGGTTCTTTCTCCCCAAGCCCCCTCCCTGTCCGTTCATCCCCTTCCTCTTCTCTTTCGGAGGCAGAAACAGAAGGAAAGACTGGAACATTTGGATCCCAAAAGGGTTAGCTTTGGTCAGGATGAGATGTGGGACTGGAGAGAAAAAATGCATCCATTAGCCCCCGTATTGCCTACTCCTGATAAAGGGAAAGGTTTTCCCCTGATTTTAAGTCCAGTCATGTCCAACTCTGGGGGTTGGTGCTCATCTTCATTTCTAAGCCAAGGAGCCGGCATTTTCCGTAGATACCTCCTAGGTCATGTGGCCAGCATGACTGCATGGAGCACTGTTACCTTCCCACCAAAGCGGTACCTACTGATCCATTCACATTTGCATGTTTTCGAACTGCTAGGTTGGCAGAAGCTGGAGCTAACAGTGAGAGCTCACCCCCTCTCCGGATTCGAACCAGCAACCTTTCAGTCAGAAAGTTCAGCAATATGCAGCAGATCTGGAAACTGTTTCAAAGATAATGGGGCTCAGTCTTTTAGGGCCCTTCCACACAGCTGTATAAAACCCACACTGAACTAATACATTTTTGTGGAGGTCCTCTATCCCTAACTCCAGTGGAGATTTGACTATATAGAAGGAAGGAAAATATGAGTATCTGAAATTGACAAAGAGGCATACAGTGTCAGATTTCTTTGTGCCCGTTTCCTATATGGTTTCATTGCAGGTTCCATTGGTTTCATTGCAGGTTCCTGGATTCTGATGGCTTTCCTTTTCACAACATTACCCAGTTTATTTGTGGCTTACCACAGCCCTGCTCATGCGAGACGACTCAACTCCTCAGAAAGAGTAACCAATTTAACCCACTGCCTGACTATTTCCTCCAGTTTGATGGTGGCAGCAGAGAATGCTCTTCATCAGTTCCAGGTATGGCATGCTTCTTTGGCATTACCGTTATTATTTTTTATAGTGCTACTAGTGTACACAAAATTCACGTGACAAAAAAGAAATACAGATTCCTGCACCCAAAAAGCTTACACTCAAAATTGAACAGAGGAAATAATGGATGAAATAGAGGAAAGATCTGGGTTGCTGTAGGTTTTTTCGGGCTATATGGCCATGTTCTAGAGGCATTCTCTCCTGACGTTTCGCCTGCATCTATAGCAAGCATCCTCAGAGGTAGTGAGGTCTGTTAAAACTAGGAAAATGGGTTTATATATCTGTGGAATGACCAGGGTGGGGCAAAGAACTCTTGTCTATTGGAGCTAGATGTGAATGTTTCAACTGACCACCTTGATTAGCATTTGATGGCCTGGCAGTTGTTTGGTGTGGCTTGTTGGTGCCTGGAGCAATTTTTTGATGTTTTAATGCTATGTTTTTAATGAGTTTGGTTTTAATGTTTTTTTATTTACTGATGTATTAATATACGACATATTTATACCCCACCACCATTTATTTATTTATTTATTTATTTGCCACATTTATATCCTGCCCTTCTCAACCCCAAAGGGTTATAAATGTGGCAAATAAATAAAGAAATGGTGGTAGGGCATAAATAAAGCTATTATTATTATTATTATTATTATTATTATTATTATTATTATTATTATTATATTATTCAAGTGAGACTCCAGGCATGAAAAACCCACATCTGAAGAGCTACTGTTACAGAGGGTGTGTCTAAGATTTATAGGCTCAACAAGTATTACAACATTACAGCACACATACAGAACATAATGATAGCTTGGACCAGCCCTAGAATACAATTTGAATCATGTGATTTTACATGATTTTTAATGAGTTTGGTTTTAATGTTTTTTTTATTTACTGATGTATTAATATACAACATATTTATACCCCACCACCGTTTATTTATTTGTTTATTTACCACATTTATATCCTGCCCTTCTCAACCCCAAATGTGGTAAATCAATCAATCAATCAATGGTGGTAGGGTATAAATAAAGCTATTATTATTATTATTATTATTATTATTATTATTATTATTATTATTATTATTCAAATGAGAGTCCAGGCATGAAAAACCCACGTCTGAAGAGCTACTGTTACCGAGGGTGTGTCTAAGATTTATAGGCTCAACAAGTATTACAACATTACAGCACACATACAGAATTGTAAAGTTAGTACTGAACTGACTACAACAATCATTAATGATGGACAGGGCCGGCCCGTCCATTACTCGAAGTAAGCGGTGGCGGAATACTTTTTTTGCCAGGGGGCGCTGTTTTGTCCTTAGGCCACGCCTCCTCCTGGAGGCCCCATGCGCCCTCAACAGCCTTCTAATGGAGAAGCGCAGGCCCCGCCCACTAGGCGAGAGGGAAGTCCTCCCTCCACGTGCTGCCAGGAGGGAGGCAGCCAGCCAGGCTCTTTCGCTTTCGCTTTCCCTTCCCTGCAGCTGAGCCTGGACCCCTCTCAGGGCAGCAAGGAGGCCTCGTCAAAAGGTACTGCAAATGTCATCTTTTGTACATGCCTCCCCCAAACCTCTCTAGTATTTGGTAATGGAAGTCCTATATGCCAAGTTTGGTTCAATTCTATTGTTGGTGGAGCTCAGAATGTTCTTTGGTGCTTGGTAAACTGCAATTCCCAAATGTCAGGGTCTATTTTTCCAAACCCCCTCTCCATTATTTTCTGTTAGTCATGGAAGTCCTGTATGCCAAGTTTGGTTCAATTCTATTGTTGGTGGAGCTCAGAATGTTCTTTGGTGCTTGGTAAACTGCAATTCCCAAATGTCAGGGTCTTTTCCCAACCCCCTCTCCAGTATTTTCTGTTAGTCATGGAAGTCCTGTATGCCAAGTTTGGTTCAGTTCTATTATTGGTGGAGTTCAGAATGCTCTTTGGTGCTTGGTGAAGCATTCTCACCTGATGTTTCACCCACATCTATGGCAGGCATCCTCAAGAGGCTGTGAGGTCTGTTTGTAACTAGGCAAGTGGGGTTGTATATCTGTGGAATGTCCAGGGTGGGAAAAAGAACTCATGTCTGCTTGAGGTAAGTGTGAATGTTGCAATTGGTCATCTTGATGAGTATTTAATGGCCTTGCAGCTTCGAAGCCGAGCTAGTTGCTGCCCAGGAATCCTTTGTTGGGAGCGGTTAACTGGCCCTGATTGCTTCATGTCAGGAATTCCCCCCTTTTTAGTGTTGCTCTTTATTTATTGTTCTGATTTTAGAGGGTATTTTAGAGGGTACTGGTAGCCAGATTTTGTTCCTCTGAGGTTGCCTGCCATAGATGTGGGGAAAATGTCAGGAGAGAATGCTTCTGGAACATGTACAGCCCAGAAAACTCACAGCAACTCAGTGATTCTGGCCATGAAAGCCTTCCACAACACATAGTATGTTTATTTATACCCTGCTTTTTCTCTCCCCAAGAAGACTCAAGTTGGCTTAGATTAAAAACATTTCAGTACAGTCTAAAATCCACAAATATGCAAACATTAAAATGGAATTAAATATCATTGGTATTTTAAAAATTCAGTTAAAATCCATAAAAAACATATCCAAAACTAAAAACTGCAGCAGACCCTGACTTGATCTTTAAAACCTTTTAAAGCCTGCATTAGATTACCAAATGTAATGTCCCTTTATACACACTGCTTTATATTAATTTCCCCAGTATTCCTTTATCTGATTTGTCATCAACACACTTAATGGACTGCAAAAATATGATCCTGTGTGATTCCTTTCCTTCCAAGTCGCCCAGTCCTCTGTGTGCCCAGGGGGAGTCTCTCATTTGGTATCAGCCATTGGTTGAGGTTCTGGGTTTGAGCCTGCCACTTTTGGACTCTCGCTTGCTGAGGTGTTCCAGCGAGTGTCTCTGTAGATCTTAGAAAACTTATGATTTAAGATCAACTTTGAGTCAAGAGCGCTTGAGTGGACTAGCAACCTTGGCCATTGAAAATGGCTTGTTGGATGAAATGGAAACAGATATAATAGTACACGAGTTTTCAAAATTGAAAGCCAGAAAAATCTCTTTTTAATTTTAAAAGTGTTCAAGTTTATTTGTGTTAAGGAAAACTGGATGTTAAAGTATCCACTAAAGTGAAGGGGCCAGAGGCTGACTATGTTGCCACACCCATTGTAATGGTCCAGGCTGGCATGGCACTTTTGAAGGACAAGAGTTCACTTTCTTCAAAAGGAGGTGTCTATTCTCCTGGGGCTGCGTTCTCCAAAACAAATCTGATTGACAAACCCAACAAGCATGGGATTGAGTTCTCTGTTATTAGCAAACCCCTAGTCTGAAAAATCTTCTCTGAAGAGACAGCATGACCAGGAAACCTTTGTGTAGTACTTGTAGACCAAAAATAACAACAAAAACTTAAAATTGTTGCTAAGTTTAGTAAAATATTTGCATTCTTAAAAAAGTTAATTTGTGTAATGTAACTATATAAACATAATGTTGTAAGTAAATTTCTGGTTTGTAAGGTAACTCTTTTATTCACCTCTACCTTCTACGTTTTATTTTTCAGTGATTGGTTGGGGGGAGGGGGCGCCAAAATAATGTTTGCTTACCATTGAAAATTACCTAGGGCCGGCCCTGATGATGGATATAACTTGCTTGCAATTATGTTTAGCATGACTTACTTCCAAACACTGTCTTGTGACTCAAGCAGAGCGGGGAGGGTTCCTATTTGTGGTTAGGTGTTCTTTTCTGCTCATAATGTGGGCTACCAGTCTGTGTGCAGAACCGCATCGTTGCTTACCACGTGTGCTAGCAGGAATCACATACTACTAGGGGATTATTCAGCTCCATAGGTTAAATATGCAAAGAACTTTCCCATATTCGTCAAATATATAACACAGACTCAAATTATTTGTATTTCATTGGGGCTACTGATCTTTTAAGCCACTGTCTTAGGACCCTTCCACAAAGCCCTATATCCCAGAATATCAAGGCAGAAAATCCCACAAAATCTGCTTTGAACTGGTTTATCTGAGTCCACACTCAGATAATGTGGGATTTTCTGCCTTGATATTCTGGAATCTAGGGCTGTGTGGAAGGGCCCTGAGTGTTCATTAGATTTTTATAACTTAGGGGAAATGTGGGTTGTTTATATAGAAATGGAAAGTAAAATGCATGTTCTTTGTTGCTGTAATTTTCTCTTTACTACCTCTCACTTCTGGCAGGTTGTCCAGAATTGCACATCTTCCTGTAATATAGAAGGATTTGCATTAGTATAAGTGGGACCTGCCAGAAAATACTCCAGAGTGGAGAATTACTGGATAGGATGTCACTCATTTCCCCTTGTATACTAATATCAGTCTGCATTTCTGTACCCACTGAGCACGCTCAGTCCAGAACTGTTTTTTGGATGTCTCCCTACCCCATTTTAGAGATTTTTTTCAGGAACAGCAACTAGGATTGTTTGTAATTTCTCTAGAGCTATTGTGTCCATAATGCTCTTGAAACTATATAATGCTAGTTGAACTACACAACAGAACTGGAGTTGTGGAAAGTGGAACAATGTTTTAATAACTTAGTGATAGCAATGCAAAAGGTGAGATGACCATGTGAGTTGCTCTCCATAGATCCAATGTCACAAACAAAATTATACTTCAGCCCATATAGCAGTGGTTCTCAACTCTCCTAATGCTGCGACCCCTTAATACAATTCCTCATGTTGTGGTGACTCCCAACCATAAAATTATTTCCATTGCTACTTCATAACTGTAATTTTGCAACTGTTACGTATCATATGAATATCTGATATGCAGGATGTATTTTCATCCACTGGACCAAATTTGGCACACATACCTGATATGCCCAAATTTGCATACTTGGGGGGGAATGATTTTGTCATTTGGGAGTTGTAGTTGCTGGGATTTATAGTTCAGCTATAATCAAAGAGCACCTATGATGGAATTGAACCAAACTTGGCACACATAACTCCCATGAATAAGAGAAAATACTGGAAGGGTTTGGTGGGCACTCACCTTGAGTTTTGGAGTTGTAGTTCACCTACATGCAGAGAGCACTGTGGACTCTAACAATGATGTATCTGGACCAAACTTGGCACAAATACTCAATATGCCCAAATGTGAACACTAGTAGAGTTTGGGGAAAATAGACCTTGACATTTCGGAGTTGTAGTTGCTGGGATGTATAGTTCACCTAAATCAAAGAATATTCTGAACCTCACCAACGATAGAATTGAGCCAGACTTCCCGCACAGAACCCCATGACCAACAGAAAATACTTTGCTTTCTGATGGTCTTTGGCGACCCCTCTGACACCCCCTCGTGACCCCCCTCGGGGTCCTGACTCCCAGGTTGAGAACCACTGCAATGTGTTTTTTTTTCAATAATCTGTTCACACATCTAGCTGTTCACTACTTACAAAGATAAAGTAAAGTTCAGATAAGCTTCCCAAGTGACATCACCATAATGTTTGTTTTAGAACTCGTTGAACTAGTGTGTATCTAAAGTGTTTATGCAACAGGTTGTGGTAGGGCATGCACACTGATGGCACTGAAGGCCCTTCCACACAGCCCTATATCCCAGTATATCAAGGCAGAAAATCACACAATATCTGCTTTGAACTGGGTTATCTGTCTCCTCACTCAGATAATGTGGGATTTCCTTCCTTGATATTCTGGGACATAGAGCTGCGTGGAAAGGGACTTAAGTTGTCAGAAATGTTAGAAGCTTGATGCTTGGAGAATAACACCATTTTAGACACAACTTAAGAGAAATCAGGTGATGATTATTGGGATGCCTATTTGCATAGCATTAGTGATAAAGCCTGTTATAAAAGTGAAAGGACAATTAGAGTTTCAACAAAAAGAGCACAGTTCAAACTTAAAAGGCTTGGCAAACCCTTAATAAAATTCTAAAATGCACCCACTGATCCCATCAGTGTTAACAAAATCTCCCCATTTCATGGCCTATTAAAAACGAAAGCTAAGGACATAAAGTTGTAGTGCAGACTGAACTGCTAGTTCCAACTGGAGGAGATTAATGAATTAATTGGCTTTACACATATGTTGATTTCATGGGCTTATTCCAGTTGAGATAAGGCTATGGGCATTTATGTTGCTATCTTAGGGCCCTTCCACACAGCCCTATATCCCAGAATATCAAGGCAGAAAATCCAACAATATCTGCTTTGAACTGGGATATCTGAATCCACACTCAGATAATGTGGGATTTTCTGCCTTGATATTCTGGGATATAGGGAAGTTTGTAAGGGCCCCTAGTCAAAAAATAAAACTTGCCCAGTTAGCAATATGGATGGTAATATTTTCAAGGATGTAAAAGTTTGGTTCACACAAAATGGTAAATGAGGTTGTTGTTTGTTCAGTTCTAGCCTGTTATATCTGAAGGCATGTCTTAACCAAACACAGAAGCCGTGTTGTGCTATTTGCTTACAAGCCCTGGTTTGTTAGTATGTCTGAACTCAGAACCTTCTCTGCTATATTTCCTCAGCTGTGCACCCTGAAACAGGAGCTGATAAAAGGAATAAGATAGAAATTGATCAAAAATAGGTGGAACTAACTAGTTTTCTGGTAGTTTATCTTAAATTCCAAGCTGGGTCTGGGATAAATCATGGCTTATCCCCCCCCCAAAAATAAACCATCGCCCCTAGACCAGTGGTTCTCAACCTGTGGGTCCCCAGATGTTTTGGCCTTCAACTCCCAAAAATCTTAACAGCTGTAAACTGGCTGGAATTTTTGGGATATATAGGTCAAAACACCTGGGAACCCACAGGTTGAAAATCACTGCCTTAGACATTATCCTGTCCAAGGAGGGTCAGAATTTGTCCTGCTGAAGGGTTCCCATTGACCTGACCTTCCATGAAGACCTTCTCAAGTCCTGCCTCCTTCATACTCCCAATGAAATATGGTTCATGAAAAGTTAGGGTAGGAGGGTACTTATCACACCTTTCAAACTCTGGCTTAGTATATTTATGAAAGTGGCCAGAGAGGACAATTAGGAAAAACGATGAGAAGATTAATCTTGGGATGATGATGATGAGACATCAAAGCACAGTTATTAAGCAAACCGCTTAAATAGAATTAGATTAAGGTGGGGATACCATACAGGAGTTGGGAAACAATTGTTGGATCTTCTGGTTTCAACTTCAAGTTAAACTTTAAGATATTACTTCAAAAAATCACTAAGGCCCCTTCTACACTGCAATATAATCCAGATTATCTGCTTTGAACTGGATTATCTGAGTCTACACTGCAATATAATCCAGTTCAAAGATGATAATCTAGATGTTATGTGGCAGTGTAGAAGGAGACTTAGAAGAACAAAATCATCCTTATCACAGGATCAGCAGTAGAGGGTCAGAAGATTTTTGGGTTGGTTGGTTGGTTACTGAAGACAGTCTCACTGGCATGCATCATGCAGAGAGCATTGCATGAGTGATTATGTACATGAAAACAAATATTCTCACATGCCCTAGATCAGGCATGGGCGAACTTCAGCCCTCCAGGTGTTTTGGACGTCAACTCCCACAATTCCTAACAACCTACTGGCTGTTAGGAATTGTGGGAGTTGAAGTCCAAAACACCTGGAGGGCTGAAGTTTGCCCATGCCTGTCCCAGATGTTAAAGGTGCTTTAAATCTTACATAACTTGGCACAAGGATGAGCATATTAACCTGGGAGTATCTGGATAACTTTGCAGAAATCAACAAATGAGATTGTAGGGAGTCATGAGGGAAGGACGGGTCATTAATCCTATTCCAGTTTAGAATATCCTGATATTCTCTTCATTGGGTATCTTTCATACAGAACGAATCTAAGTGTTCTCTTGACTACAATATCGTCGAAGACCCTAAGAATGAAGAGAAGATCTTGAAGGCCTGCATGGTAGGAAAACTAATTGTATTATAACAAGTACTTTCTACAAACCTAATGGAATTAACTGGACTTGTGACTGCAGTAGACTTAATATCTTATCCTCTATTTCAGTATGAATCCTGTCCCTCTGCAGCAAATGAGGTGGTTAATCAGGTAAATCGCGCCATTAGCAGCAAGCTTATTTCACATTTGTTTTGTGTAAAGGCATCTTCCAGCATCTTCATGCGTTTAAATTGCTATTCCTTCTTGTAGACTTTATGTGTGAAGACTGTCTATCAAATTCTGGAGAGCTATGTGATGAAAATGAAGAATTATATTTCTCCAGATCTTTTGGATACTGGCAACAGTATGTTGAAGGTATGCTCTGTGTGTTTGTGTGTATGTAATAAAGGTCTAGAATGGGATGGAAACAGTGAAGCCACAGGTGTTTCTTGTCATAAGGTGGACGTGGAACAGCAGAGGGTGAGACCTGGCACTATGGCTGAAAAGGAAGGAAGAAGCTAATTAAGTATATTGTTAATCTCTATGGGAAATTAAGCTTTAGAAACTGCAGCTGAGGTGGACATTTGCACAGTTTTTTCCTCTTGTCTGGAACCTAGACTCCTAAAACCCACTGTGGAGGATTTGTAACCTCGTCTCCTGCCATGAGATAACTCTCAAAACCTGTAGACTCGGGGCTAGCCCTAAAGTCTAGCCATCCCATTGTGTTTCCTGTCCCCAAACTCTGTGCTGTTATGTAATTTCATGCCTGTGTCTTAATTTTTCAAGGGAGGGAAGTACATGGAAACTGTCAAATGCTATGTAATGGACATGTATGTGTGCATTCACATTTAATATGATGGGGTATAGTTTAAAATAAACAAGTGGTTTGCAGCACTTACAAATATTGGAACAATAATATCTTATATTCTAACCAGAAATAAACCACGTGCATTATCTGTAACTTTTTGAAACTTTTCAAAATATCCTGTAGCAAGTCACAATTTAAAGAGAAATTGCTATGGAGACAGAAAATCTTTCTTTTGAATTAACATCTATGGGATGACCTTGTAGTAACATTAGCAAATCTAATTCTAAAGTGACTGGAATCTCATTGTTTACTCCAAAGTAGGATATACTCGTGCAAATCTTTTAACATGTAGCTAAATGCAGTTGATTCAGTGACTCCATACTAGTTCAGATTAACAACTAAATTGACCCCCAAATTTAAGTCTCTGTGTAATTATTACAGTGGGCTCTTGGTATGCACTGGGGTTTAGTTCCAGGATCCTTCATGGATACCAAAATCGGTGAATGCTCAAATCAGCAGGCCCTCCTGGTGGTGCAGCATGTTAAACCGCTGAGCTGCTGAACTTGCTGACCGAAAGGTTGGCACTTTGAAACCGGGGAGTGGGGTGAGCTCCTGCTGTTAGCCACAGCTTCTGCCAACCTGCAAATGCAAGTAGATCAATAGGTACTGCTTCTGTGGGTAGGTAACGGTGCTCCATGGAGTCATGCTGGCCACATGACCTTGGAGGTGTCTACAGACAATGCTGGCGCTTCAACTTAGAAGTGGAGATGAGCACCACCACCACCCCGCAGAGTCAGAATATTAGGGAAAACCTTTACCTTTACTTTTACAGAAGTATAGCAAAATGGGGTACCTTACATAAATCATGGTTTGCCTTTTAAATGAATATTTTCAAGCAGATAGTTGAATCCATGAATATGGAGGGCCAACTGTACATTTATCATATAGAGGCCGGACTTAGCACAGCAGGCTAAACCGCTGTGCTTCAGAACAATCCTGCTGATCAAAAGGTCAGCAGTTCGAGCCCACGTCAGGGTGAGCACCCGACATTAGCCTCAACTCACCTGCCCACCTAGCAGGTCAAAAGCAGAAATGCAAGTAGATCAAATAGGTACCACTTTTAGTGGGGAAGTAATAAAGATGCCCTTAAGGACATCGATCGGAGAAAAACTCCTTAGTATGGAAGATGGAGTGACAGCACACACACAAACGCGTGCACGCACAAACACACACACAGGGGTGGCTGGAGTTGAGCACAGCCTCCAAGATGCCAGAAATAAGATGGGGAAAACTGCCTTTATCTGTTTGTGTTATCTGTCCTTGGTAATTGTATAATCAGTGTTCAATGTTTGCCGTATGTGTGCTCTGTAAGCCACTCTGAGTCCCCTTCGGGGTGAGAAGGGCAGGGTATAAATACTGTAAGTAAATAAATAAATAAATAAATATAAAGGGGGCTCCCCAGCTTTGCTCTTAGGAATCTTTATAGTCTACTGTGGTAAATATGTGCCATGCTTTCAAAATAGTAGCTGCAAGGCATTGTTATATTGTTTTACAAACCATAGGCACCGTGCCAGTTGTGTTTAAAGGTGTGTGTAAATCTGTATCCATAATGGTCCTTCATTAGGCATCTCTTTTTCCTCCCCAGGCTTTAAATATCAACTCGAAGATGAAAGGACAAATACTGCCTTCCCGGCAGCACCTGTTAAATGAAAGATTTGATGTGCCGATGACGCAGTGTGAAATGTTCTTAGTTTTTCAACAGCTCACTCAGACAATTGACCGAATCTTGCATTACCGTAAAGAAATGGAAATTAAGTATCGTGCTTCAAATGGTTTAGAAATGTGAGAGAGAAAAGAAAGAGAATTGGAGAATGCCCCATCTTCAGTCCCTTCCTTCTGTCCCAGTCCTGTGCTTTCAAAAACAGATAACAGATTATCAGGCATAATCTGAATTAGGTAGGGAATCGTTAATGATTTTTAGATAATTTTGATCTTGATCTTGTAGCATTCCTCACCAGTGGCAAGGAGAGTCTCCCATAGAGGCATTTGCCAGGTGAATGGTCATTACCAAAAACTAGATTCCCCTCCCAAATAGGATCGTGGTTAGTGCCTTGTACTTACAATCTCATTCCTCCATATAGACAACCAGTCCTGCAAAACCTATCCTATTCAGCTTTACATTCATAGTCCCAACCCAGCAACAAAATTAAGACATAGGAATCTAGCAATGTGAACTATATGTGCATTACTCCTTTTTACCAAAATAGCACTTAATCCAGAAGGAAGTCACATGCAAACCTGTTTACCAACCTAGACTGTTCTTTCCAGACTGGGATGAAAAATGTCATACAACAGGTCTTCCAAGAGAAAAGTCTCCTTGGTTGAATTCACTCTTCACACCCACACATCAAAGCAAATTCCATTATCATTATTAACCTATTGACTTAATATCGTTACAATAATCCTTTTGTAGCTCCCTGACAGTTGAGATGCTGAAAATGTGCTTCTGTGTAAACAGTGCTTGTGCCTAAAGCAAAATGAAAGGTTGCTCACAAGTGTCCCAATTTAATTCAACAACTAGGAGCTCCTGGTGGCACAATGGGTTACACCCTTGTGCTGGTAGGACTGCTGACCGAAAGGTCGGTGGTTTGAATCTGGGGAGTGGGGTGAGCTTCCTGCTGTCAGCTCCAGCTTCCCATGTGTGGACATGAGAGAAGCTTCCCACAAGATGGTAAAACATCCAGGTGTCCCCTGGGCAACGTCCTTGCAGATGGCCAATTCTCTCACACCAGAAGCAACTTGCAGTTTCTCAAGTCGCTCCTGGCATGAAAAAAAATTCAACTGCCTCCTACAAACAGGCATCACAAACTATAGATTATTTATTTATTATTATTTATTTAGCAGTTTTGTATACCGGTCTTCTCACCTCATCGAGGGACTCAGGCCGGTTCCCAACAATAATATCACAAACAGTCATTAAAAACATCAAATTACATATTAGACTAAAAACATTAAAATAGCAAAAATGCAGTCATATAATTACAATGGTCAGTCATCACACTAAAATCATTGTTCGTCATCATCCATCCATATCACAGAATATTGACTCATTCGTCGAATGCCAATTTCCAGAGCCAAGTTTTCACCTGTTTTCTGAATGTCAGATAGAAGGGGCAGTTCTGATCTCCAGTGGGAGAGAGTTCCAGAGCCTAGGGGCCACCACCGAGAAGGCCCTGTCCCTCGTCCCCACCAGACACGCTTGTGAGGCCAGTGGGACCGAGAGCAGGGCCCCTCCAGACGATCTTAACAATCTTGATAGTTCATAGGGGAGAATACGTTCGGACAGATGTATCATGTATACAGAGAATGTAATGCATTTGGATACAGTTGTATTAAGTATTGGCTTAGAATGAAGGGAAAGAATGAAATGCCTTTTTAACCAAGATTTTAGTAAATTAATCTCCTATTCCCTGCATGGAGAAAATAAGCTGCAAAAAAACAAAATTCTTTTATACTTTGAATATCCACCCAGAAGTAAGTCCCACTAAGTTGCACGAGTCCTATAGAGTTCCTCTCTATAGACCTTGAGCCATAAAAGGTTGCATATTCTAGTGTGGTACTTCCCCAACTGTAGTCTTCCGGGTGTTTCAGATTTCATCACCCTGAATCCCTGACCACTGACCAAGGCAAGTGAAGCTTCCAAAACCCTTGGAAGATGAAGGTCTGGGGATCACTGTTCTAGTGCATATATTGATTTATGTTAATACAGTGGCCCTCAACCTTCCTAATGATATGACCCCTTATTACAATTCCTCATATTGTGGTGATCCCAACCATAAAATTATTTTTGTTGCTACTTCATAACTGTAATTTTGCTACCGTTATGAATCATAATCTCAAAATCTGATAAGCAGGATGTATTTTCATTTAATGGACCAAATGTGCCACAAACACCCGATATGTCCAAATTTGAATACTGGTGAGGTTGGGGGCTTATGGATTTTGTCCTTTGGGAGTTGTAGTTGCTGGGATTTATAGTTAACCTAGAATCAAAGAGCATTCTGAACTCCACCAATGATGGAACTGAACCAATCTTAGCACACAGAATTCCCATGACCAACTGATAATACTGAAAGGGTTTAGTGGGCATTGACCTTGAGTTTTGGAGTTGTAGTTCACCTACATCCAGAGAGCACTGTGGACTCAAACAATGATAGATCTGGACCAAACTTGGCACAGATACTCAATATGCCCAAATGTGGACACTGGTGTAGTTTAGGGGAAATGGACCTTGACATCTGGGAGTTGCAGTTGCTGAGATTTATAGTTCACCTACATTCAAAGAGCATTCTGAACCCCACCAATGATAGAATTGGACCGAACTTCCCACACAGAACCCCCTGACCAACAGAAAATATTGTGGTTTCTGATAGTCTTTAGCGACCCCTCCGACACCCCCTTGCAGCCCCCCAAGGTCCCAACCTCCAGGTTGAGAAATTCTGTATTAGTACAACTGACTGACCACGCTAAATTTTTTACCGGTATTATGTGTCACTCCTTTTTATTGTTCCCTCTTCTTCGGCTTTTCTGAGTTTAAAAGGTAAGCTTTTTGGGGCAGGACCCTGTCAGTTTGGATTTTTGATAATACTTCAAATGGTATTTTATTATATTAATTTATAAATATGTAATATTTATGAGTAATTTATATAATATATGGCATCCCATGTATTATAAACTGACATGTCTATATTTATGTCCCAATAAATTATTACTTTTACATCTTACTGGGTTTTGTTCATTATTGAAGTGCTGTGAAATTGTTTCAAACATGCCTAGATTGTGCTCCAGTTTCTTGTCATTTTGCCAACAGGCAAGTGAATGTGTTTAAAAGTCATTTGATAAAGGAAGAAGTTATACATTTAATATTGGATTGTGAAGGGTATGTAGCACAAGAGTATAACTATACATTTATTCTATTCACCAGCCCTTTTCCTAGTCACTCCACAATTCTTGTGGTATGAGGCTATTTAAAAAATAATAAATAAATAAGACAGGAGGCTATTTAAAAAATAATAAATAAATAAGACACAGTTGTGGATATGGGAAGTGTGTGTTATCTCTCCTTCACCTTCCCATATTCTGCTTGGATCACAGAATATATACTTCCAACACACTTAATTGTGGGGACCTTAATCCAGACAGAACAGTTGTGGCTTTGCTGAAGGCCTGTCCAGACAGTACCTTTATCCAGGAGCTTCCACAGCAAACAGGAGGATAGCCAGATGCCATTTTCTATAAGTATGGAATCAATCGCTACAAAAGGCAAAAAACACGAGTTTTCCAGGTGCAGGAATATCACAGTTTTGAGCCAAATATGTGGATCTTCATATGCCTGTATATCCCTGCAATTGGAAATCATGGGATTTTTTTTATCTAGGATTGTTCCCAGGTTTTAGATGTTTGTTCCTGATTGGTCAGTTCCTAAAAAGAAGGTGACACTAGAGTAGAAGGCAAAAACTTTGTGTGCCTGAAACTTAATGAAACATGTGGAGGACACTTTTCCTCTGGCCAGGACAAAATTGTGGCCCCCTAGTCAACACTGTATATATTTTCACAAGAAGAGCAATCAGGAACAGCCATATATAACCCAGGAACAACACCTTGTTGTTTGATGCCACAAGTACACAACCAAATCTGTCTGGACAGATGGCCAGGCAGTCAGGCTCTAAAAAGTGTCAATAATGACAAAGTTATGTTCCTGGCTTGAAAGTGTGTGTTCCTGTGTGATTGTGCAGTGCTGACTTGGGCAGAAATGGTCCTACCCCATAAACTTTGTTTGTGTGGCAGATACTTCATGAAATGTCTGGAGGGGACAATTTCTCTGGCCAAGACCAAGAATGGAACTTTTGCAGTGATTTGTTGCAGTGATTCTCCATATATCTGGATATCTGCATCTTGAGGGATTAAAAAACAACGAAGTTTCTGGTGCAAGTCCCACAGTGGCCATCTTAGGAGCCTCTAAATCTTGCATTAAAGCATCAAGTCTGGACAACAGAGGCAGAAATGCCCGGACCAACAGGTCTGTATGTAGACCTCTTCCGAAGTCCCAGGATTTTTTGCCCCTGTCTAAAACCTGTGATTTAGTGCTGTCTGGATGTGCCCTGAGTCAAAAAGCAGATTAGAGCAACAGGGAGTCACCCTATGATGGCTGGGGTTACACTTGCCCTGAGATCATGTTTCCAGCACTCCTGATTCAAAATTAAGTAGCTTATCACATAGGTCAAGCAATATGCTGCCTGGAAGTCCAGTGGAGTCTCCTTCTCTGGAAGTTTTTAAGAAGAAGCTGGGTGAACATCTGTTGGGGGTGCTTGGAGTGAGCATTGCAGGATAGGGTTGGACTGGATAGAATCATAGAGCTGGAAGAGACCTCATGGGCCATCCAGTCCAACCCCCCTGTCAAGAAGCAGGAAAATCGCATTCAAAGCATCCCTGACAGATGACCAGGATGGCCCTTGAGATCTTCTTAAATTCTAGGAATCTATGATTCTGTGGAATTGCAATTACAGCAGAACAACATCATCTTTGGCTGGGAATTATTACATGATGTTGCTCCTTTCTCACCACTCTTTCAGTAAAATAAAACCTGGAAAGTTTTTCTTTTACAAACGTAATTCATTAATTATTTCCTTTTGTAAAAGAAACACCTTCCAATGATTTCCCCCATGAAGAACAGATGAGGATGACTCCAAGTGATAACCCCCGCTGTTATCCTGTTTTGCTTTCCTTGTGTGATAAACCTCTAAGTCTAGAGACCCAGGTTTCTGAATTGGCAGGAGTGCTTTTGCA